GGTGCTCATGATGCTCCTGAGCGCAGATTACAATGAAGGCCAAGGAGGTCAATGGCTGCAAAAGTGGGTGCTGGCAGCTGGTGCATCATCATCGTCATCGTCCGCTGGTGTCCCTGGTAGCCAGCCAAGCATCAGCCCCAGCCGATGACCACTTACAGCCCTGACAAAGCTTCTAGCGGCAAGGTAGCTTCCACTGGTGAGGGGAGCTTTACATCCAGCGACAACCACGTCCATTATTGCCATACTGCCTGCATCCAATGGCTGCCAGGATTGCTGTAGGTACACAAGCTTTTCCAGGGCAAATACGCCAGTGTTGATCAAGCGCGCTGTAGTGGCGGTTGCGAACCCAGAATTTGGCTTCTTGAAATGCCCCTTTGCTCATAAGAATCCAAGAAACCATAGCAGAACCCCGTCTAACGGGTATTTATTGGAGACAGACTCTAAAGTGATTTTGCTTCGTTTTGCGATCAACGCGCTGTTCATTCATGCGGCCAATTTGGCAGTCATCTGTCCCGGCAAGCCTTTCAATGTTATTATTCTTCATGCTTCTTCGTGACAGATCGAAGCAGCGCTCGAGCCACCACTGTGACCTGTCATCGGTCATGGTGGTTGTTCCCCATAGACCCCTCTCATTCTCACTCTAGATCGGCGATCTTCAGGTAAATTGTCTCTGTTTGGCATTTTGACAGGAGCCACAAAGACAGGGACAATGACTTTCGGTCATGTTCAGAATGAGACTCTCTATGCTATTTACTCGTCAACAAAAAGACGAGGCGTTTTGATGAGCATAGTAGCATACTACTAACAGCCGTCTGTGTCTAATCCTGATCCCTTCTCTGGTACAATGCAGGCCGCCCAGGTATTCCTCAGAACAAACCGGCATGAGTCTCATTAGGCGAACCAGTTACAAAACCAGCCAAACCAATGATTTCCTCCAGCCCTCATGATTCAACGGACTTCTTCTGTCTCCCCTATTCGCCAAACGCTGCCAAGCGAGTCAACTCGATCACACTCGGCGTCCAGTTGACATCATCATGGACTTCATGTTTTTTTTTGCTGCTTGTCTATTAGGCACCCGTTTTGTTATTGTTGTTATTCGCGGAAGTAGCCCTGCTTCACCGAATTCCACAATTGAGTTTCTCTTCTTTTGCCTTTTTCCCCCGGAAGCTCCAGAATGAATTCATTCTACAGAGTGGTAATGTCGTTTTTACCGTCAACTCAATCACACTGCAAATTAGGCTCTTAGGTGGTGCTTTTTGGTCACATACTCCCTCCAGGTGTGGGGAGGCCTTTCTGGGGTCAGCCCTCAATTCCAATTTCAATGTTTCCATATTAGGACCCAGCCTACCGTACTAACTGGCCTTCCACGGGGGCTACGGGCTGACGGAATGTAGCCGGGCAAGCAGGAGAACCAGCCACGGAAGACTTGATTATTACCTCCATTATGTACTGGGATATTTTATCATCATACTGAACTACTGACGCTTACTTTCAGTTCGTAGGGAGTATGTCTGGTGTACCCAAGAGCCAACCTCCCTAGCAGTCTTTCTATCTTTCCAGAAAGAAATATCACAGTGGAGATTTTCTACAAGAAGATCTCCAAAAGAAAAGAGAAAACCTAGCTGCCGAGTGAGTTCCTCTACCGTGTGGAAAGGAAGGAGGCATACCCACTGTGCAGCACTTAACGCGAATTTCAAAGATGCCATCCCTCTTCGCGGTCAGTTCGACTGGCATTTGGACAGGTTCTCTTCCTTCGGTTATTTATGCACTTTGTGTGCCTCGATCAGGACCTCGCAAAGCAGTAGTGGGCTTATCTGAAATCCAAGATGTGACAATATTGGCAGTATTCCTCGTCATTACACAAAAGGCTGAAATAGAAGCTCAGCTTCTGTCGTGTTCGTCACAATTGTAGCCAGGCCTACATTTGTTCCTTCATTTCATTGGATTTCGCGCCTTGTCCCATTGTCTTGTGCTTCCACCGGCGCCTGAAGCAGCGGCTGGTTTGAGATGGAAGCGTTTTCGCATGACGTCTGTGTGCTCAAGACTTTGCGTGACGTCAAACAGAGCGCGCCACAAGACATCCAACCAATCTCAAGTTGTGGGGTGAGCCATGCCCATGCTGTCTCTGGTGACAACGTGTCTAGCCTCCGATGTATGGAGCTGATAGAAGCTCCAAGTAGAACCTCCGGGAACATTAACACTTTAGACCTGGAAATTGTCAGGATAAACTCTTCAATGAATCCCCTTAATACTGTACTAACTTACTGTGAATTCTTTATCGCCTAGGATCGAGCCCTAAGTTAGCCTGGGGAGACTTTCATCTGCTTCAGATGCAGGCGGCTGGGTTCACTTATCCGCTGCTTTGTTGTAACTTTGTTATCGTCTCAGACAACAACAAACAACCACTGCGAGGTTATCATATCCATAGCAAATCTGTTTTTTTTTAACCTATGATTTTTTTTTTTCTGAAGAAGCTGATATTACTTGCAGAACCCCAAGAGTGGGAACTGGACAACCACAATGACAACGTAATCGCTGTGGAACAGAAATTATAGTACCACGCATTTCATCAATCGAGTCTGGTTGGTCAACGGCATATTAAATCTTCAAAAGATTGCAGTGCTCCCTTGGGCTTCTTATCGCTTTCCACGGTCTGTGCAAGTGTGTGATCACAGGTCATAAAGCGATAGGTAGGTGTGAGTCGGTGACCAAGCTTTGTCCAAACCTCCCACACCAGAAAATATAATACATTACGGAGTACGTACATTGCATAGGCATAGATTGTTTATCTCCGTGCCATTATAGCTTCTCATACCCAAGCGGGGGTTTTTAGGCAAAGAATGTGGGACTTCTTCTCTACCAGCCAGTGTTGACAATCCATGCTGGTCCAATCTGAATCGGGGATTATTCGAGAAGTTCAACTAGTACGGTGTCTATCCTGGCCTATCTTGGTTACCCTTGATTCCCCAGCCGTTCGGATGCCAACGCCATGACCGTTTTTTTGTCTGATGGATGGATCCTTGCTCACGTTACTTTGAGCTTGGGATCTGGTGAGATGTGGGTTATCGAATGACTTGAAGATTTTGTGTTTAAAACATAAAAAACCTGCCATACGTACATGGATAAGGCATGGTTTTCATTCGATGTACATAGTATGTGCCCGTGGCGTGTGAAATCTCAGCTTTCAACTTGCCTCACTTCCATATTAGCTTTGCATTGGCCTTTTGGCATGATCTCTCCATTAAGTTGACCCGTGATCAGTACCTACATTGCCAATCTAAGGTAGTGGGTTCACTTGGCATTGTTGAGCCTTGTGCTTAACGGTTAGGCTTCGGCTTCGGCGGAGTTGATGTTTATCGCAAAAAGTAAGGTGGTAATGCTATGAGAGATACAGAGTAATCAAATAGATGTGCACCTGCAATTGCGTGTAAATGAAGGTAAATAGTGCCAGGGCTAAGAAAGCTTATCGACCATTCACCGTCATAGTTGCGTTGTTAAGGAAATCTAGCGATCTAGGTAAGTTAATGGTTTAGGAGGCTCATGAAATTGCCTGTCTATCATATCATATTGCATGTTATTTACGGCACCATACCTGGCATATAATAAACATGGCCGACATATGTGCCAAATTTAGGGTCCAGATCTCGGTTCACTGTTAAAATGCACTGTAGTATCTCTTGTATTGGGAATTTTGAGGAATGCCTGGACCGCAGTCATCGGTCCGGATCTTAAGGATGGGGTGCTTAGTCGGTTTTTAAGTAGACCATACAGATAGAATAAGGGTCAGATGGGGCCTCAGAGTCTCCTAAGAACGGTATGCATTCTTAAAACTATTTACTTCACATATGGTAAGTCCTCTGGCTAGCAATAGTATAGACGTATTGGGACTCTGTAATGTCTAGCTGTAAGAACTGGATTTACCTGGGCTTTGTATCGCCTCGTCTGTTACTGCGTAACCTCCCAGGCATAAGGAGAGCGATAACAACTTGCAAAATACATCACCGAGGGGTATAGCAGAATTACATAGTATATACAAGTTTGTTCTCTGTCTTATGCTGCTGCGCCAGAAACACTTCATTGACAGAAAACAGTCTCGTTTGTCTGTTGCCAATAAATTCCGTAAGACGGCAGAATATGTTTGAATGGCGACATATCACTGCAGGGTCTCAGGGGTGGAAGAAAACACCAACCTTCAGTCTTATACAACAAGACTCCTGGACTGATTTGGGATAATATTTCGTCTTGAATCTCGAAATTTCACTCATTCACGTATCTAATGAGAGATCTAACCCTTTCTTTGCCTCTACGAGAGAGAACCCGTTGTTCCTGGATTGGGGTAGAGAGGATAATAAAATTTCTTATCATGCCAAAATTAAACCTCCAGCTGTCTTGAAAATGTTTTGTCAGAGCGTTTTATGATGGAGTATGTCTGGCCATCAGATGTGTTCGGCTTCAGGTCCTGTAATACAATATGACAGATGATGTCACTCGAGCAATAAAGATTGAGGTTGTGCACATTTGGTACATTTGCCCTGAAGGAAGGGCGGGTCTATGACTACAAGTCTTTGAATGGTCAACATGTTGCACGCAGCATTGTAGCTTTTATGGTCGATACAACTCAGAAGTTGATAACACGTAGTGGCTAGCTTCGTCGGAGACATATTTCCTATATCGCATCGTGAAACAGGTAAACTGAGTACATTGTGATGGTTAAGCGCCAATGCCTAAGTAACAAAAAGGGTGGGAAAAAAGAACTGCATTTAACATGATGAAATCTCGCTCGCTGATAGCGGCGAGAGGCGCGACTACTCCCAGCAAATTCCTCACATTCGTGCCAAAGGCGCAGTACAAAAACTTTCAGGACGACAGTTACAAACAGTAAGAACACACACCAGTCACCGTGTTCTAAGGCTGTTCGCGAACTCATCGCACGTAGGAGGACCTACAGATTCCTTGTAATTGGTTTCCAGCAGGGTTCAAGTGATACAGACCAAGGACGGTCAAGTCGAGCCAGGACCTGGGAAGCCGAGCTTTTGCTTCTGAATCCGAGGCACAACACCCACCAAAGTGACAATAGCCAGCAATAGCACAGCCCACAGCTTGATCTTGAGCACGTTGTGATTGTAGTCTGTCTCGACAGCACTAACGACGGTAGCCAAGAGCAGGACAAAAATGATATATCCACTCCAGCGATGATACTTCCAGACAGCCTTGGCATTGTCCACGCCGCCATATAGGGCTGGAGTAGCCCACATGGTAAAACCGACACCGTATTGGAGAAGAAGAACGATAGAAGTGATGACACCGAGATAGCCATGGACAGAGTGAAAGTGGGGACCGTTGTTTGCAATCTTGTTATACTCGATGATGGTCACGCCAGCAACAAGAATCAAAAAGGCCACGAGGTTGAGACTGGCATGTACGCGCTGGCCGACACGCTTCTGCTCTGCCGTATGGGTCGGCTGTAGACTTAGAACAGACTGAGCGAGGGTGAGAACCGCGAGAGATTGAAGAAGTGGATGGGCTGAGAAGAGGATCAAAGGCTTAGAGAGGACGCTTGCCCAGATCAGAATAGTGAGTAGGACCACGCCCAGCTGAGCTACTATTCCAGTACCTAATATAACGTACAGTCAGCTATATGTCGGTTGTGTACAAATTCGAAGCTTACCGAGAACAAGATTCTTGATCAAGGGGACCCCATCTTCTTGCGCAGCATCGCCAGGTCGACCAAGGAGAGGCTCGGTTTCTCTGGCTGGCAAATCCTCGATGGGAGGGAATCGCTCCGGGACACCTGTAGCACTTGCCATTGTGAGTAAACTAACAGGTAGAGTCGTCTTCTGAGTGTGAGACTCGAGCTTTATGTATACGATTTGCAAACGAAATAGCGGATAAAGAGGTGCCGAGTCGAACTCTCTGGTCACTTATTCACGCCCCCGGCTTATCAACTGCGCACGCACTTGGAGGGTATTCGCAAGTGCAGATAGGTCACGTATGTAAGTGAGAAGTTTACAATGACAGATTCGTGTTTTCGTTTCGCTTCTATTTGCAATCACCGTTGACGTCAATGAGATGACTGAGCTTTGGCCAATCACAAGTCATGTTTTAGCAATAGCGCGGGGTAGAGCGACGGATACATCATGTAGCGCAGTAATCGCGTCAATGTCTAGGGTACCAAGGTAAGGAAGAAGGAAATGAAAACGGAACAGAAGTACTGGCAGATGATCTATATAAACCTGGCATAATTATCTATTACTCGATATGATCGAGCAAGCAACTTAGGCTACCAGATTAGCTCTTCATCTACTTAAACCGACCCGCCACAAACGATGCTCTGGTTGGCCCATTGTCGCTTTAAAGGTCCCTGAAAAACGGCTGGACGGCTAAACGATACGATCATCCACTCCCCCGAAGCCGGCGACGGGACGGCAATTGGCCAGACGGCCGGCGGCCAGCCGAAACTCCAGAGTTATCTGCAGCTGCATCACAATAAAAGCTGGAATTGGTGAAGGATCGTACGTAAGAGGATCGTCAGATTGTTTGCAGTACCGAAACGTCCAATAAAAATAAGAGATCAGGCCAAAAACCCGGAAGCATTTGCCATGATCCAATATTAACGCCATATCAGTGGGCAGTTCGGAAGTGGCCGAGCTCCCCTCCTCCGACTAATAGGACAGATCATGGTGCGCAGCCGAAGGAAATAAGGCGATAAGACCGTTCTACAAAATTGTTCAACCCCCAAGTTCTAGAGAACTATAGATCCGCCGACTCTCATTATACATTGCATAAACAAACACTTCACATCATGACTTCCATTGTTGACGAAATCGAATACAAGCTCGACAACGTCGAGGTCGCAACGATTCGTCCAGACGACATTAACAAGACTTTCCGTTCAACATGCATTGGTATGAACTTATATGGGCTCATTTATGCTGACCCGTAGTAACAATGCTGAACAATTACAGATCTTATCTCCAGTGGTCTCGGTGGCCGAGTCCTTGGCTACTCTGACCAATGGTTCTGCGAAGCGTCTAACCTGTTGAACCCCAGAGCTCCGATTGCTCAGCCAGGTAAGATGGTATTCACAGGTGCTTGGTACGATGGTTGGGAGACTCGACGACACAATCAGGAGCCATTCGACTACGCCATAATCAAGTTGGGCGTTGCCTCTGGCACGATTGAAGGGGTCGAGATCGATACAGCCTTCTTCAATGGAAACCATGCTCCTGCTATCTCTGTCGAGGGTATCTTCAGCCAAGATGACGACAAAGTTGTTTCATGGGGAGGAGGCCGAGGAGAGTGGGAGACCATCCTCGGGATCCAGGAGTGTGGTGCTTCTCAGCGATTTGCCTGGAAGCTCAAGACTCCTAGCCGAAAGGCATACACACATGTGAGGCTCAACATGTACCCCGATGGTGGTATCGCACGATTCCGTCTCTATGGGCACGCCGTCCCCGTCTTCCCTGAAGACAAGGACGCCATTTTTGATCTTGCTGCAGCTCAAAACGGCGGTATTGCTGTGTCGTGCAGCGACGAACACTTTGGAACCAAGGACAATCTTATCATCCCTGGCCGAGGAAAGGATATGGGCGACGGTTGGGAGACAAAGCGGTCACGAGGAAAGGACCATACAGACTTCGCCATCATTAAGCTCGGTGCCCCTGGATACATCGAGAATTGGGTCGTTGATACTGCGCACTTTAGAGGCAACTATCCTCAAAAGGTCTCAATTGAAGGTTGTGAGTGGACAGGCCATGGCGATCCTGTCGCAGATGCCACAGCCTGGAGAGTCTTTGTACCCCCTAGCAAGACGGGACCCGATCAGGAGCATGAGTTTGAGAGCGAAGAGAAAGAGAAGAAGGCCCTGGTAACCCACGTCAAGCTTATCATGATTCCTGATGGTGGAGTGAAGCGACTGCGGGCATTTGGCAAGCGAGCAGTCTAGAGTACTTAACGGATGAACTTTGGATATGTTCGTGATGAATACAAATGAAATTAATTGGCATAAGCTAAGATTGGCATGTATTAAATATCATCTTCCTGTTGGGTGGATACACGTCAATCTCAAACAATTGGCGTCTTATTTCACGCATCACAAACATTAGCTACCATGTCTATGGATCATGTCGGTTTTATTTGAAGCACCTCAGAGACCCTTTGAAATACCGGATTGGGTACAAAGCTATATCCAGTAATGCTGTGGCTGTACCTCGGTGACGACATGTGTTGTATGTGTAGAGGTGATAACTAACGTTGGGTGGTATATCTTAGCGGAGCTGCTCCAAAACCTAAGCGGAATGACGGTTTCTCCACGATTTCACCAGGGACAAAGTGGGTAGGTTGCCCTCCACGACAACTCAGACGACATCAACACAAGCAACCAACTTTCAGCTCCGACGACATCTCCATCCGATAACGCCTACTTATTCACGAAACAGTAGAGAACTAGCAAGATCGCATTTCTTTATCGTCAAACCATCTCTTGCAAGATTCCATGCACCACGCGACGAATCTGAATCTGTCTCTGCCCCTCCCTCCATCATGGATCTAGGGGACTCTATCAACCCCGAAGCACAGCCTGAGGAAAAGCCTCGCACTCTCCCTGCAGATCTACCCAGATCTCTCGATGACAGAAGGCATGTGCCCAACGAGCACCTGATCACTGAGACCGAGATGTACGATGGCTGGCAAGGTTCGTCGCATCGCCACTGCGGCTTTGCATTTGCGCATCTTGTATAACCCAACACGTCACTGACACATTTGTAACAGGCCAGTCCCAGTTCCTCACAACACCAGCTGTAGCAAAGCCTCTTGACTTTGGCAACCTATCGCTAAACGACCCCGAATACGAGGATGACATTACCAAAGGACCCAAAGACAGCGACACACGATTAATGGAAATGCTGGCCGCCCAGGCAGCGCACCAAGCAGCTCCTGCTTTCGAGAACGAAGATGAGGTTGTGAATAGTGAAAGCCTGTCCGAGGCGGAGAAGAAGGAGAAATTACAAAAGGCACTCAACATGGCTGCAAGTAACGGTGATGTCGACAGAATTCGAAAGCTTCTCAATGGAAAGGCAAAAGACTATATTGATTTGGACGCTGAAGATGAGGATGGGACACCGCCCCTCATCTATGCTAGCTGCTTTGTGGGTGAGCCGTCATATGTTGCACATAAGTCACTAACCTCCAGTTAGGGCCATGAACCTGTTGTCCAAGCATTGATTGATGCAGGTGCCGACGTAAACAAACAAGACCGCAATCAATGGACAGCTCTAATGTGGGCCATGACAAATCGACACAAGGGTATTGCTAAACTACTCCTCGATAATAATGCCTCCTCGGACCAAAAGACATCGTCGGGACGAACAGCATTCGACTTTGTCCCCCCGGATAGCGAGATGTCGTTCTATCTCCACGATAATGGCTACAGTATTGGAAGCGCCGGAACAGATGACTTTTACCGACCTGGGTTCTCCCAGGATAGATTCGAAGAAGAGATGGCTGAGAATGAGATGCGAAGAAGGCTGATGATGGAGAGTGCTCGTGATCTCGAGGTTGACCTGGGAAACGTGGGTATGGATGATCAACCCGAGGTAGGGCCCAAATCGAAATCGTGAAGAGCTGTTGGACTGACTCTTAACATAGCCTGTCGACGAGTTTGAGGAAGAGCAACAAGAATTCGACTGGAATCGCTGCTTACATGATCAAATGTTTGTTTTTCAAGAACACGAACTTGAACGCATCCTTGATATTATTATTACCAATATGACGCCGCAGAGATCACCGACACAGAAACCGGTGCCAGCCAACATGATATTTCTCAGCGCACGATATGCGCATTATCACTCAAGTCCCGAACTTCTGGAGCGACTCTTGGTGTCAGCTATGGATTACATCAATGATGTTGTCGAGAGGTGTCAGTGGGACATGACTATTCTAGCATTTTGGATCTCAAACGCCACCCTACTGCTTCACTATCTGAAGAAAGACCCTGGGCTTTTTGAGGCAACGGGCGAGTTCCAGGCGCAGCTGGCTGAATTGATAAATGAGATCTTTATTCTTATTGTACGAGATGCTGAGCGACGTCTGGACAAGGTCTTGGACGTAGCCATGCTGGAACACGAGACTATTCCCGGATTCGAGGATATCACTTTCCAGAATGAGTGGAAGCTCTTTAAGCGAAAGAAAGAAGTCAAAGAGGAGCCACTAGAAAAGCGATTCAGACCACCATCACCGAAGCAGCGAGCAAAGCCAGCCCCCCGAAACGTTACCTCACTTCTCTCCTCTACTCTATTTGTACTCGACCTTTACGATATCCACTCTGTGATCACTGCGCAAATCATTTCCCAGCTTATTTACTGGATTGGAGCAGAGCTCTTCAACCGCATTATGTCAAATCGAAAGTATCTGGCAAGAACGAAGGCCATGCAGATTCGCATGAATATCTCAATCCTAGAAGATTGGGCTCGGACGAATAACAGACAGGCAGAGCACTTTGAAGGAGGTGAAATACGCTCTTCTGGGGAGTCAACAATGGATGCTGCTCGAAGACATCTGGCACCCGTAATCCAGCTGCTCCAATGGCTCCAGTGCTTTTCATCACTTAATGGAGATGATATGGAGGCTCTGGTTATCACACTACAGCAGCTCAAGAGACTGAGTCCCCAGCAACTTATCCACTCAGCCAACCACTACCGGCCAGAAGTGGGCGAGAAGGGATTACCAAAAAGTGCTATGAAATACTTGATTAATCTACAGAAAGAGGCGGCGCTCAAGCGAGAGAGACGGCGGAGTGGTGTACCTTCACCACAAAAGTCGGGCCAGGACAGCACACCAGTGACACCGGTAAAGGGCCGGTCAAACGGGAATAATCTCGCCACTCCTGGAAGTACTGCCAGTCCCCCAGAGGATGATTGGGACGAAGATGATGACATGCCAGAGCATCTGCTGCTAGATCCCGCCCTGATGTTGCCTTTCGTGCTGCCGTCGGTAACTGACATGCTTGTAACTTACGGCGCTGGACTCGGTGGAGTTAACCGTGAGCGAGAGCGCAAGTATATCCCCACGGTGCCACCGGAGTTTCTTGAGAAGTTGGAGGTGAGCGGCGGAACTAGAAAGGGACCCATGTTCGGCGAAGCAGATTGGGAGAATGAAGAAGTTTGAGGAAGTGACACTAAGGCCGTCAAGGATGCACAACCAAACCGGCAGACAGCGAGACTCGACCTGGAAGATCCAATGATGGGGGAGGGCTGCTTCTGAGATTCTTTTGCGTAAGCAACGAGTTTCTCGCAGTTGATATCAAGGATTCGGTGACAGAACGTAGACGTCAAGGAGCATCTCACGGGCCAGATTTGGCGAATCAAACTAATGGTGGCAGAGACTACGGAAAGCCTCCTATGCAACCTGCAAGGGGTAAAAAGCCCTGAGTGCCGAGAGAAACCCCACGGTGACGGACGCGCATCCGCTGCCACGTTCTCAACGCTTTGAAAGACCATCGCCAGACGGTGGAGCATCTGGCAAACGGCCCATCCTATACAGTTTCCAGGCCAGAAGAGACAAAATGGAATATGTCTTCATTTGTAAATTCTAACACGAGCGAGGTTGTATAGTTCAGCATATGGCAAATGGAGTCGTGCAAGGAGAATCTAAAAACCTGATGGTTTGCCAATTCTTTGTTGCTTTTTTCTATCATGAGAAACATGTGCCAGCCCTCTCAACTCTCCCATTCACCAGCCACCTAAACTTCAAGCTTTGTGGGCCAAATGCGCCATACTCCAGCTAGCAAGGGTTTTGTATCCACTTTAGAACAACGCGGCGTTGTCTTTTGCTGCATGCACTCAACCGTTGGCAGTCTGGATGTACAGTACGGAATAAGCTAACTAGTAGAGGGCGTTTCTTTTCGCGTTTCCCCAATTGTGCGTTGTTTGTGTGCCCTACCTGTCCCAGACCTCTACAAGTGTTTGTTGCTCGTTCATCCGGGTTTTACGTCACCTTTGCCAGCCTCGAAGATTTACAGAAGAGGCGCAGGAAAAAGACGGTTAAAATGACCTTACCGCTATTCGCTCATGTCTCCCGCCTCATCCCTAGGAGAACGGAAAAGACAAGAAGTCTCCACTAACCACGCGGTAGACGGATCAACGTGGAGGAAAATGCAGCAGCAAGGGGTTGCCCGATGAGTTGGCATCGACAGGCTAGGACATGGGTCTTGGGCGGTGACAGCTACAGTTGCAGCGTTCAGAGAGGCCACTCTATGGGCAGAACGTGGACTCACTTTGGCCCCGTCCCGGCCGGGACGGGAGGGTACGTGCAGTCTTTCCGGTGTCATCTACGATATTTCTTCCTTTTTGTTTTCATTATTATGCAGGCTCCCTATAAGCCAAACGAGGAGAATCTCGTCTGTTCGATGTTGCCCTGGCCGGCTCAACACCAAAGCAGGACAAAGTCCGATCCCTGCATGCATCCCAACATAAAAATCTCCCTAGGTTCGGGAGCGGGTAGATCTTCCCAGGGCAGATGGATATCACACAGATCGCTCTGTGAAGATGCGCGATAATAATGTGAAGACTGAGACAATTTTCAATTTTGCTTTTTCGTCTTCGCCAAAATGGGTTCCTCATTCTTGCTGGGGAAACGAAAAGAAGCATTTCGTATTTCGCTTTGCTTCATGTAAGGAAGAAATGGGTTCCGTGGTGGGCCTTGGTTAAGAATGTGATGAAGTGTAAGAGCTCGCATAAAAAAGTCTCAATTAAGCACAGCCTATCGGGAGATCATCATCTGAGTTTGATCCAGAGCTAGAGAACCACTAACTCAGTAGTCGTAAACACATAATCACTCCAAGAAGAGGTTTTGGTTTTAAAATGTGAAATCAGAGAAGTAGGTGCCAGGACTAAAGATGAACGAGTGCTTGTTGCTCATCAGTGTCCCGTATCAGCATGTAAAACTCATGGTGACGAACTAATGATGATACGAATAGAGAAAAACAGAGTTTAATACACGTTCTCATGTTGAAATTAGTGGCGGCAACGTTATAGCTACTGTACTAAGGCTACGGGAGGGCTGCAAAGTTGTGTAGCTTTTGATCTAAAATAGGAGATTGCGTGGTTTACTTGCATAGTGTATGTAACACGCTCTCACTCAATCACACTAGGACATGTTATCAAAGTTCTGTCTTTGTTTTGAGGCTGTTGTTGTTAAGGGCTTCGGCTAAGTGACTGATGGCTGAGGCGCTATTAGATGTGTTCCAGAATAATTGACTATGGTTGAATCAGTGGATTCGAGCGGAAAAGAAACGCGTAACTGGAGAGTGTGAGGCTGCTGTGAGACCAGGTTATCCCGTCCCGTGCTGTCTTATCCTCGCTCAATGCTATGGTATCAGTACGGAGTACTGTGTGCTGTGTTGAGCCATCGATGAATGGCCATCGTTTGGTGTCTGGCCGCGGGTACCTTGCAGACCCTACATCTTCTAGGCGGCCCTATCGCTAATCCTGGTCGGTATGGATGACTCTGACATTGGCGATTGGGTATCGATTGGATCATTGTGATAGCTCACAGAGGCCCAATAAGCTCGCCCCGAAACCTGTTGCGGCATGGTTGGAAGACGTGCTGGTTGGCAGAAGAAGTGCCTCTCTGAGCAGCTGAGGAAGAAATGTGAGACTTGACGTTTATCTGCCTGCCCTGTGCTGGGCTTGTCTTTGTCTTTGAATGGGAGTATGTCTCGGTGACCCCTTGCTTCCGGAATGCAAACGCTTTGGAGATACAACACACAACATCAGCTTATAGATCGTGATGATAATTAAAAGACTCATCGCCGTCACCGTCGCCGTTTGTGGTCTTGCTTGCAGCAGCCTCCAAACTCTATGCCCTGGTTCATAGCGAGGTACATTCGGTTGTAGAGGGTGTCACCATGCTTAAACCCGGATTGTATGTACTCCGTATAATGTTTTCTGTTGGGTTTTCATCTTGAGGCTGCCAACATTTCTTTGTGCCTGAAGAGCGAGGAGTGTGGTATGGCCGTAAAAAGGGTTACATGGGATGCATGCAATTCGCCGGCCATTCATCAATGCCTCACCTGAGCTCTTCCGAGTGCCTTTTTCTTCCCAAGCCCATGACTGACCATGCGTCGATGTGTTGTATTCCGGTCGGTCACGTTCATTTATCTGTGATTACCTGATGGTCAACCTCCGACATTTCGACCTGTGCATGGTTAGCCGGGTGTAAGTGCGGTGTGGATTCGCCCAACCCACACGTCAACCACGTCGAGCCATTGAGTTTTCACCGTCTCGACTCGCTTCGTTTGCCTTGCCTTAGCTCTATACTCGATTCCCCATAACTCAACTTACTTACCGCATGTAGCGGGCGGGTTCTTGCCGTAGCCAACGGAAAACCGTGGAGTCGGTGGATGATGTGGCTGTCAGTAAATGGACCAAAGAAAGAAGAGAAGAGTGAAAAAGTCAGGTTTTGTTTATTTTTCTCGGTTGTTGTTGCATTGTCGATGAGTCGGTCTAGCAAGACTAGTCGTCAGTAGTAGAATTGATATGGTGTATAAGGAACGCACTTCCATCTCCATCTTGAGATCGATTCGCTTAGCTTGGCTTCCCCATTGCTTGCTTGATCGAATATTCTTGTGAGACCGCGATCTGTGCCTTCCGTCAAACGCACTGCACCTCACTCTAACTACTTCGACCGTTGTTTCCACCTGCACACGACTTTACGACCTTGTCTCACGACCAATATTTGAACAAAATTCAAAACACGGGACATTTCAGTCTCGGTCAATGTTGTGCCAACCTTTCGAGTTTTCGCTACAGAACGATCCTTGACCATTTCTTTGCATACCCGCAACCTTCAACTTGACATCTACGAGATTGCATTGTCTCATTCAAGTCTAAGACCTGGGCGACTCGACTCGACTCAAATCAATTCTGATCGACCTATTTTCGATAGATTTAAGTTCCAGTTCAGTTCAGTCTGCATTTTGGCGCTTATTTTCAAGTCTCCCTTGATAAGACTCTCCCTTGGGTTCTCTCTGGATTATCGACTTGGCCGCAACTGTCTATAACACCGGCTCACGGCCCTCTCCCTTTCTTCAGCTTGCTCTTGGACTCCTCACCTGAGCTATCGGGTCTGGTCTTGGGTGTGCTTGATCCCCGGCATTAGCTTTGCTCCCTTGCATTTGCTACTCATCCGACCAACCTGCTGGGGTCTTACTTACAACCAAGCTTCTATTTACACGAGAAGACCACCTTGTCGACACCAACCAGTCAAACTGGTAGTTGGTTCGAGGTCTTTAAAATTTGCATCATTCTCGTTGTTGGCTCCTTTGTCCAATTCACAAAATAGCGCCATGTTGCCATCCAAATTTGGGAGTGGGCGGCAGAAGCAGCCTGAACGCCGAACCAGTTTACGACTTGATCCCAGCATAGTGGCGTTGCGATACGAGAAGACCATACCAGCAGAACCTCCGATTCTCATTGTCTCACGAGACCCTACTCGGCTCTCACGTCGTCCTTCGTCTTCTTCGGCATCATCTCACAGCTCCCGCCACCGTCCTATTGTGATTGTACCTCCTGGTATTGTCGCACCGCCTGCTGAGGAGCACCCGGCCCTCCGAGGCTCATCATCGTCGTCATTATCATCACCACCAACTCTCAGGACTTCTCCAGTATCAGTGGAAGAGTGGAAGCGCGATTCTGGTGTTGCTAGAAACAAGTCTACTTCAACAATTCACGAAGAAGAGGACGAAGATGACCACTCGGAACCCGAATGCAAAAACAAGATTCCTGCAGTGGAATCAAACGTATCATCACTGGTATCGTCCGTCATGCCGCTGCCTAGTATGACAACGCAGCGAGACGACGATCCATTTGTGGACGAGAATAGCATCTTTGAACCGCTAACATCAATACCTACCGATCCCTTTTGTGTCGTGTACAACGCTCAATGCACCACGCCGCCTCCTCCACCTCAGGTGTCCCACTCCGATACACCTTTACCATCACTTGCACCTGCAACACCTACTCGACCAAGTAGGATGACTGCTTCCTCTGTTCCTTTCTCCATTCCTTACTCAGAGTGCCTTGCAGGCAAAGTTCCCTCCTCCCCAACATACCCCCTTCCATCAAGTTCTCGCTCTCACAAATCTCCTTGTTCCTCAATCCCATCGT